AAGTAAATTCTGGCAACACTGATTTGAATACTAAAGGGAAATAATATTTTATATTGCTATTACTTCTCTGAATTTGGACAATAGGAATGGACACTTTTTGAAACTTATGATCTTTTGTCTATGGAGATTCTCAATCATCCAAGCCATGGTTGTCCTAAAGGTGCTTTTCCCAAAGGCGACTGGACTTTTTGGTTTTTCCTTTGAAAAAAGGTTTCGCTTCTTATCCAAGAAGTTTCTTCAGTTCTAAAAAGAAGCTTCTTGAATGTGAAACAAAACATTTTCAAAGAAAAAAAAAAACCCCAATAACAGTTCCAGTTGGAAAAGCACCTTTAGGACAACCATGGCTTGGATGATTGAGAATCTCCATAGACAAAAGATCATAAGTTTCAAAAAGTGTCCATTCCTATTGTCCAAATTCAGAGAAGTAATAGCAATATAAAATATTATTTCCCTTTAGTATTCAAATCAGTGTTGCCAGAATTTACTTCTCTGTTATTTGAAATCACCTGGAACTGTTATGAATAGGAGTTGCCTTGCTTTCATTCCACGTGCTTCTGAAAATTGAAAACATTTACCTTGAAATAGGTTTTTGATTCTATTTCTATCTCAGTTAATTGAATGTTCATTTTGGCATTTATCCTGTTTACGCTTTTTGATTTGGTTAATATATCAATGATAGATTTTTAAAAACATGTATATAACTCTTTTTATTTTAAAAGCTCTTTAAAACAGATAATATATTTTTGTATAATTAAATGTAGTACATCAAGTCCAAAGTGAATCAAAAATTCAGTAAGAAGCAAAAGCTTTGGTTCAGTGTAAGTTGCCTTAATAAGGGACAAGGTTCATACCTCCATCAAAACATCTTCTGGATATCTCCCAATACACCAGCCCAAGAGAGTAAATATCTGCACGCTTGAAAGATTCAAAGTTATTTATGTTCATTGTGTCATCAAGTATTTCTGGAGCCATGTACCTTTCAAACACAGAGACAGTGAAATTCAGAGATTTGTTGATGAAATGGAAATTGCAAGCAATCACAGCTAATGAGAATATAATTAGTATTTCCAATATACAGCAGCATGATTAAATGAAACATAATTCAAATGGACAATACAAGTGATATATTTAAGTAAGCAAACGTATTTGAGAGGAAAAATTCAGAGTATTATTCATATTTTCCCCCAAATCCCTCTTTAGCAGTTTCCTTATAATCAATTTGAATCACGCACATAGGAAAGGAACAAATAGTTCCCAAAAGCAACATTGATCATCAATTTACCATAATGCAAAACAAAATATGCACTCCCACAGGTGCAGATCAACTTGAGACATGTTCAATTTACTTGATTGTCTACATAAAACAGTTTCAATAAGTTCAATTACTTTCAAATGGACATAGGAAAAATGATTCATTCACTTATTTGTCTCTCTGAAGCTACAATTTGCTTTGATAGGATATACCCAACAATGAACAATAATGTTCTTTCTATAATAAATTATTGTTCTGTTTTTGCTCCTGAGATCTGGGGAAAAATAAACCCTACAGAACTCCTCACAATCATGACTTTTATTTAAAGAAATGCCTTATTTGATTTCAAAAGGTTATAGAGTTTACCAAGGCAAAACAATTAGGCTGAGTCATACAAAAATAGTTTCTGAAGGATCACAAGGAGAAGTTATCAGTATTTTGATTCTTTCTTGCCCAGACATATAGGGCTACAGATCATGTGATAATTAAAAATACTCAACAACAAAGTTGAAAAGCAAAATTAGAGAATGATTTACAACAGGGGTCTCCAACCTTGGCAACTTTAAGAATTGTGGACTTCAACTCCCAGAGTTCCCCAGCCAGCAAATCTGGCTCACCTGTTCCTCAGCCTTTTGAGCTGTTCCTCAGCCAGCAAAGCAAATCTAACTGAGGAATTCTGGGAGTTGAAGTCCACAAGTCTTAAAGTTGCCAAGGTTGGAGACCGCTGATTTACAAGACTTCACAAATCTGGGGATTTATCACTAAAATGAAGGGGGAGAGTTTGCAAGAGATCATTTGTCCAACACTGTTTCAGTTTTGTGCTCATATCACAATTTTATAAAAACATTACTTTTTTGACTGACTTACCTCTTGGTTCCTACTCTAGGATTCTGTGGTATGTCAATTGTGTTTAATACCGAGTCATGCTTCACAGCTAGCCCCAAGTCAGCAATAGCACAGCTTTCGTTCCTTTTGACTAGAATATTTTTAGATTTCAAGTCTCTGTGTGAAATAGCTGGCTTTCCTTTGAAGCACAAAATGTACATGGTAACAAGTTCAAATGTTAGGTACAATTGGTTTATAGCACATAAAATACATATTACATTAGCATTCAGGTCTTAGGATAAATACAATATGTCAACACTAATAAGAGGAATGAAACAAAATATTATTTCTACTTGAGAAAGCAAGATTCCTGACTGAGTGGCTACTTCTATTTATGTTCAAGTGAAAACAGACAGAAATCTCAGCAGTCTTTGCTGCTTATCCTGAAATGGTTAGGACCCTTGCAGCGAAATTAGCATATTCAGGCCCAGAATGGATTCTTCAAGCACAGTAACAACATTTTGCTCACAAGAGCAACTAGGAGAGGTGAAAAGAGCAGAAAAAGCTGGTTTTTTCTTTTAAGTGCTTAAAAGTGATTCTCGAGCAGTTTGGTCATTATTCCAAGAGAAGCCCAGATTACACACTACATCAAGGTCAAGAAGAACAACGATGAATGCAGACCCACTCACACATCTTCTCTTGGGCAGCCTTGAGCAGCCAGGAGGGATATGGATCTAACTATGGCCAAACTAACAGTTACAAGAACCCTGTTCACTTCCTCAGGGGTTCAAACTCCTCCCAGATAACCATGCAAAACTCAGACCCCGTAACTTCTATTGGATCTGCATCAAAGTTGGAGTTAAGTGTAGAACGAATCTGAGCAATTTTACCCACCAGATGCTCAACATGTCTGGCAGTGACCCTAGACCCCAGAATTACTTACTCCTAAGAGGATCTGAGCAGTGATGGTTGGGCCGAACCAGTAGTGGTATGGCGGCCTGGGTCGCTGGGGACCTGCCACGCCCCCCCAAACCAGTTCCCTTGTTGCCGCCATCACCACCGGCATCTTGTTTTTTAGTTCTGCACATGCGCAGAACAATTTTAATTGAACTGCACATGCGCACGCACAAGTGAACCAGCAGTAAAGCCGGGCAGAACCCACCCTTGGATCCGAGTTACCCAAAATAGGGTGAGTGGTCAGCTATCAGTGGATGCAACATATGCCGTTTGATGCTGGAAGATGTGATACAGCAAGTGAACAGACCACAAATCCAAGTATTACAATAATAATGGGGTGGGTGGGGGAGACCAATTCTAACTCTGCTCTGGCTTCAGCCAAAATGTCAGGAAA